TCTATATTAAGCGCTCCAGGGCCAGCCCCATGACCTAGAGGTTAAGGGAACCCAATCCTACATGGCTGACTGGTAGTTAGCATCCTAGACCCGATGGCTTGGAAAACATGGCCAGGCTCTTGTGCATGCACGCTCAAAATCCCAACAACACAGTGAAAAGGAGAAGGATGCTTTCTCTCTCTCCCTGTCCCTCTGGCAAGTGTACATATCCTCTTGCAAATTAAGAATAAAAATTTAGGGACCGGCAAATGGTGTAGTAGTATGTCGCTAGAATCCCACATGACCAACTGCAGTTCGAGTCCCAGACCTGTTGGCTTGAAGATCATGCCAGGCACGTGTACAAGATCCCGGAAGGAAAATGGAAGAGAAGGGATTGGGGGGGTGGCCATATCCCTGGGGAGTAATTTCTTACTCTCCCTCTCAGCGTGTCTGTCTGGCTCTCTTTCCAGTGAGCACACGCACCCTAAGGCTAAAACCTCTTAAAAATTAAAAAAAAAAAAAAAAAAAGAAGAAGAAGAAGAAAAAGAAAACAAATTTTAATTAAGTATTCCAGGAGCAAGAAAGAGTCGAGAGGCAGAGGAGGTGGGATCTGGGTGGAGAAGGAGGTGGGATCTGGGTGGAGAAGGCTGGCGAGGGTTCTGGAAGCAGGTGATGAGGAAAGGAAACACAGAGGATGGAACAGCATGAACAAAGGCCCAGAGCTGTGGGCCAAGTGGCTTCACTACGGCCACTCATGCTGAAGCCAGAGGCATGGCTTCCCTGCCCCGACCTTGGGCATCCCGCACAGAGAGGGAAAGGAAAGGGAGCCCTTGCCTGGTGAGCCCCAGGCAGTGCCCTTCCCGCAGCTGCAGTACGGCAGGAGGGCTCTGGGGAAGGAGCTGGCACCCAGAGACAGAGCCCCAGACCCCAATTTCCATTCCACCACTGACAAGCTCTACGATCTCAGGAGCCATTAGCTCCCAATCTCTGTCTTCCCACCTGTATAATGGGCTAAAGATAGTACTGCCACCAGGACCAGCAGTTGGTGTAATGGCTATGTCTCTGGACTCCCATGTAGTTGGCTGCAGTTTGAGTCCCAGACCCGGTGGCTTAAACTCACGTGGGTTACATGTGCGTGTGTGCCCAAGATCCCAAGAGGAGAATGGAGGAGAAGAGATTGCAGCATGGCCATCCTCCCTGGGGGGTGATTTCTCGCTTTCTGTCTCTCTGTCTCTCTCTTTCTGGTGAATGCACGCATCCTCTAGCAAAAACCTCTCCAAAATAAAAGATGGTACTGCCACCCAGGCCCGTCCTGAAAGGTGGAGGGAGCCTGTGGAAAGCTCAGTGAGTTGCCCACACACAGAGGCTTTGGGCTTCCGAACAGAAACACTGCCTGAAAGCAGGTCGCTTAGAGAACTATGAACATGTAGGACTCAAGTCATTCTGACTCCACTACCCTGGGGGTGGGACCCAGGAACCTGCATCTTTAACCACCCCCCCCACACACACACACACGTAATTCTGATGCAGGTGGCCTGAAGACCACCGTTGAGAAGCACGCGCTCAATAAGGCTTGTTGTTACGGTCATTTATTTTCCTTGTCTTTGACCTTTCAGATAGCGCTGCGAAGTCTGAGCAGGTAACCCACTTCACACGTGAGCAGAGAGGCCAGGAGAGCCAATCCAGCTGCCCCAGGTGATGCAGGCAGTGACTGGGTGTACCAGGGTGTGAGCCTGGGTCTGCCAGCCCCCACACCTGCACCTGTCTCAGCTGGGTCCATCCCTGCTCAGCCCTCTCCCAGGCCTCACCGCTACACCCCCACTGGCCCTATAGCCCTGGTGCTGCTTCCTCCTCCAGCTGCTAATCTGGTCTCACAGACCATCCCGTTTCCTGCCGCCACGGCCTCCTCCTTTGCTCCTGAAGGCACTTCCTGACCTTGCGCCCTCCTGTTCCCTCCTTTGCCTCTAAAGGGGTTGGAGCAGGGAATGGGCCTTGCCAGAAAGTGGACATGAAGGTTTCAGGGGGCCTAGGGCTCTGACCTCCCTCCTGTGGTCTGAACTACCTCGGCTATGATGACCTCAGTCCTCAGCCCTGGGGCCCATGGCACGTGCCTGGCCAGCCATCCCCTGTTTACAGACAGGAACAGCAGTGTTCAGGGCAGTCAACTTCCTCACGCCCTGGGAGTACAAAGGGAATTGGCAGATGGTGCCATGACAGGCGTTGTCCTTGTCTGCCACCAGCGCCAAGTCTGAGACGCAGCAGGAAGCAATGCCCAGGCTGAGTCCTTGTGCACACGTAGCCCAGGAGGGCAGGTGGTCGGCACAGGTGGGGTCCGGGATGGAACACAGCCAGTCCTGTGTCTCCACAGCCGGCCACCCTCGTCCCACTGGCGAAGGAAACGCTGAGCTGGTATTTGTTCATTCCACAAACGTGATGGATGTGCGGATCCCGCACGGAGTCCCGCCCCAAGGACAGTTCTCCTTCCAGCAGGTCACTCTTCCAGCCCCAGGATCAACCGTCTTCCCTGCGTGCTGGGCACTCTCCCAAGCCACTGGAGCTTTAAAAACCATCCCTCTCCTTTCTCTACTTCACTCACCACAAGACTCAGAAAGGAGCAACAGCCATGTGTGACTCCTTCCCCGCCTCCCTTCCCTGGCCCTCCCACCATTCTGTGGGCTCCTCTCCAGTTAACCTGCTTGGGTCAGTCATCGATGATCTGATCTAAATCCAGCGGTCGAGGCTCAGGCCTCACTGACCACTGCTGTCCTCGCCTGGCTTCCACAGCCCCGCCCTCTCCTGGCTTCCTTCCTTTCTTACAGGGCACTCGGGCTCTCTTGTAACGGATGCACAAATGTCCAAGAGCCCACGGCCTCCGTCCCTGTAAGTTCCTCCACTCCCATGGCCTTAAGTGCCAGCCATAAGCTACAGCGTCTAAACCTCTCCTCCAGGTCAGATCTTGCCCCTATTGACAACTGCCAACCTGATGTCTCCACTTGGGTGCCTCATGGGCACCTCAAACTCAACCTGCCCAAACCAGGGAAGTCTTTACCTCTTCCTCCTCCTCTTTCTCCTCCTCCCCTCCTCCTCCTTGTCCTCCTCCTCCAAAAACATTCTCCCAGCCCCTCTGCAGATGCTGACTTACTGACTGCCCCTGGGCACAACCCTCTCCCTCTCAGGGTCTCTGTTTGCCCAGCTGTATAATGGGACAAGTTCTGGACTTCCCAACCATTCACCCATGGAAAAACAAGGGCTACTCTTCAAAGGACAGGTTTTCAGAGCCTGTCCCAGAAGATGCCAAGTTAGTTGGTCTGGAATGGGGTCCTGACATCCGTAGTTTTTGTTTTTGTTTTTGTTTTTTATTTGGGGGGGGCTGTTGTTTTGTTTTGTTTTTAGGTTTTTGCCATAGGGCATGTGCACTCACCAGAGAGAGACAGAGAGAGAGAAAAAGAAAGTGAGAAATCACCCACTGGAGGAAAGGCCACGCGGCACTCCCTTCTCCATTCTTCTCTCAGGATTTTGAGCACACACATTTACCTAGCATGATTTTTCAAGCCAGCAGGTCCAGGACTTGAACTATGGGAGTCCAGTGCCTTAACCATCATGCCACCTGCTGGTCCCAACATCTGTAGTTTTTTAAAGCTCCTCAAGGACTCTTAAAGAGTAACCATACCTGGGACCAGCAGTTAGCGTAATGGCTATGTCGCTGGACTCCCACGTGGTCGACCGTGGTTCGCGTCCCGGACCCGGTGGCTTAAAATCACACCGGGCGCGTGTGCATGCGTGCCCAAGATCCTGAGAGAAGAATGGAGGAGAAGGGATTGCTCCAAAACCCTCCCTTCTGGGGGGTGATTTCTTGCTTTCTATCTCTCTGTCTCTCTCTGGCTGGCTGGCGAGCGCATGTGCCCTATAGCAAAAACCTCTCCAAAAAAAAATAAAAAGAGTAACCATACCCAATACCTCCAGTCTCCGAGCTACTTGGTACTGTTGGGCTCCGTCACAGCTTCCAACCTCAGCTTCATTGTCCTTCAAGCCTCTATCTCTCTGTCTGTGTCTTGCTTCCTCTTACTTATTTTTAGACAGGATCCTGCTTTCTCATCATCCTGCCTCAGTCTCCCAGCAGGGACCACATGTGTGTGCCACCATAGCCAGCTCTTTCAGACAGGGTCTTGCTGGTTGCCCAGGCCAGCCTCAAGCTCAGATCCTCCACCTTGGCCTCCCCGTGTCACTGGGATTACGAGTGCACGCACCACGCCTAGCCCGTGGGCTGGACCAGGATCAGCACAGCCTTTGACCCCAATGCCATGCGGCACAGCGTTTTGGCAGTGCACGCCACCCGGCTGGGCCCCTTTGATTCTTGCTTATCTCAAGAGCCTTGTAAGGTTGAGACCCTGATTATCCTCACTTTACAGATGAGGAAACTGAGACTTCAAGGGGACATGATGGCTCCTGGTCGTGTCAGAAGTAGAGTCGGGTGACTTGACTCCACCCAAAGTTTCTAAACCCAAGCAATCCCCAGTCTCAGGCCGGCACCCAAGCTGGAACTGGCACCCATCCCCACCCCTCCCCAGGGAGAGGCCGACCTGGCCCTCCAGAGCCCAGAGCTGATGCCTGTTGCCCTTCTCCCTTCCACCCCAGCCCTCATGTCTCCATCACCTTTAACATGGCACCCTTCCCCAAAGTATGTCACAAGGTCACCATAGAAGAGCACACTCTGGGGCTAGGCTGACCCCATTCGAGTGGACAAGGGCCTTAAACCCTCTGAGCCTCAGCTTCCCGGGCTGTAAAATGGGAGCGATGACACCTGCCTTTGGGGGGCCCAGGGGTGGGGGCATATGTGATGGTTCCGGCCCAGAGTACCCGTAGCCAGCCCTTGACAGGTGCTGGGCCAAGGCCCAGGGCTAAGGCCCAGAGCTGGGCTCAGAGTTGAGCATCCTAAGCTGGCCCAGGGCTAGGTGTCCATGGGGACAGTCTGACTGGGCTGAGCTGGCCGCCCACCGTGGGGCCTGCCTATCTGCAGCCGGCCCCTCCAGAGGCGGTTAGCCCAGCAACACAGAGCCCCACAACCACACTCAGCCCTGGACAGACAGCCTGACAGCAGAGAAACACCCCTCAGCCACGGGCACGGTGAGTAGGGGGGCCCGCAGTCCACTGCACCCCAGACTCATGGTGGGTGCCTAAGGTGGGCAGGTCCTCGGCTTCCCCATCTGTAGAATCGATGTCATTGGGGTCCGGCGGGGAGCAGATCCTTGAGGCTGGACTGGGTTCCTCCCCAGCTCAGAGCACGGCCGGGAAAGGACACTCCACACTGGGGCCATGGGCATCTCAGGCTGAGGGGCAGGGAGGGGTGAGGGCTCAGCTCTCCCCAGGCGTACTCTCCTATCTGGCGTGACCCCAGGACCCAGTGGCCCCCATGAGTGCCAGGCTCAGAGAAGGCAGGACTCTGTCAAGTCACCCAGCATGCCAGGGCAAACGACTGTAGCCCGGGCCTAGGCTTCCCCTGGTGCCTCTTCCCCTATGGGAAAGGAGTTACCAAGACCTGACATTAGCTCCCCTGCCCCTACCCCCTATCCCTAGCCCCCAAGTCTCTGTGTGGGATTTGGGGAGAAGCCCTGAGAGGGATCTCTGACCTCACTCCCTCTCTGTCAACTGGAGCCCCCATTTTGAGACAGGCAAGCTGAGGCTTGGCTCTAGGCCCCAGAGGCCCTGCCTGTGAAATCCCCTCCCCACTTGCCCAAACAACACAGGGGCTGGCAATGTGCTTCCCCACCCCCAGTACCCAGATACCCCCGGCAGCCGGCACAGTCGGGAAGTCCCCAGGAGGCCTGGAAGGCAGGTGGCCGGGAACAGAGCTGGCTGCAGGCAGTCTACCTGGGTGCAGCTCCACCATTCGCTTCAGTGTGACCTCGGGAAAGTTACCCCGAGTCTCCAGTCTCAGCCTGCTTGTCTGAACGATAGGGAGAGTGATCCTTTTTGCGGTTCGGGCATGGGGGGGGGACTAGAAATGGTGAACAGAGAACACTACCCAACTATGGGGCTCCATACCCTACTGCCAGCAACCCCACGAGGGGGACAAAGTCTTTCTGCATATCTCAGCAGAGGCAACTGAGATTGGAGAAAAGTTGGAATGGAGATTGGAACCAGGAGCTCATACCCCAAAGCCCAGGTTCTTTCCAGCACCCCGCGACTTCTCCGTGGCTTGGGTTCCTTATCTGTGCCCTGGCAATGGCTCGGAGCAGGGGAGTCTGTCTGCAGGGGCGGCTGAATGGACCTGCTACCCCAGAGCTGACCATAGCTGTGATGTCATAAACGTTTAGACACCCCTCCCAGGCACAATCACGGCTCCCATGTCAGTGAAGCGTCAGTGGCCCAGCAAGTGATGGGGCGAGGGGGGTCGGGGGAGTGGCAGGTGTCAGATGTCTACTCAGACCCTCCTTTGAGCACCTACTGAGCCCACTGTCTTGGCTCCCTTCCCCCCAGGATGTGTGTGGGAGCAGACAGCATCCCAGCAGGAGGGGAGGCACCCCGGGGCCACAGGGCACCTCAGCGGCAAGGAGAGCCTGGAAAGTCTGTGTGGCCAAGGATTCCGTACAGCAGGGAGGGGCGGCAAAGCGGCAGGAAGGCTGGTGACACTGTGGGCCACCAGGTCCAGGACAGGAGCTTTGGTTCACTCTCAGGAGGTGGGAGCCGCAGAACTCTCCGCTGTCTGGCCTGAGTGCTGCCCTCTGTGGGCCCCAGCTGGAGGGCAGTAGGTGACCCCCAAGGGGCAGGAACTGCCACCTTGTTGTGGTGGGGGAGGAGAGGCATCTGTTGGCCTCCACGGGGTTAAAATGCCTTCCCTGCCATCTCAGCCAGACCCATTGTGCTACTGAACAAGGGCCGGACATGAGGCAGGAAGCCAGAGGGGGCCACGCGTATTTTCTCCCAAAGTCCAATGACTCAACTCCGTTGTTGCGTCGGGGACACACAATGAACATGGTGGCCACCATCCCAGGGAAAACCCCAGACCCCTCGCCCACAAGGAGCCGTTCCTGGCACCTCCTTCACTTCTCTGCACCCCCTCGGCCATTCTGAAACTACTACAAGGATTCCCACTTGACCAGTGGGACCACCAAGGCTGAGGGTGGGGGGAGCAGCCAGCCCAAGGTCACACAGCCCGTGTAAGGGAGACGCAGGAGATGGGGAGCCCTCCTCTCTGACCCCCAGCCTGTGCACTCTCCATAGTGTCGCTCCAGAGGGGACACGCCAGGCAGTTCAGGCCACAGAAGTGGACACAAAGGCAAACCAGGAGTCCAATGACCCTGGGGAAGGAACATTCTAGGACAGCCCTGACCTCTGGCTGGGGAGATATGAAAAAGCCCATCATAGCCCAGGTACAAGCTGGTGTTGGGAGGAGAAATCATAGGTGCCTTCCTGGAGGAAGAACAGGAGCTCCAGATGCTGGGAGGCCTTGGGCAGCCCCTCCATAACTTACACCTCAGTCTTCCCATCTCTGTAGGGCAGGGAATAGACCCACTGGTCCCTCAACTCATTCAGAGCTCTCCAGACTATCTGCCTCGGGCCCCAGAGCAGCAGTCAGATCCTGGTGGGTACAGACACTGGGAAGAGGAGGAAGCAGGGCCCACGGGGCGGGACCAGGCAGACGGTGAATGAGATTTCCTCCTGCAGAGGAGCGGGAGGAATAGGAGGTGGGCAAGGCTGGACCAGGAAATGAGGTCAGGTGTGAGTCTGCAGTCAGCTGCCAGCCCAGGGGGTGGGTAGAGGGGGTTAAGGTCCCCGTACACTTTTTGACCGCTCACTGTGGGCTGGCCTCGCACCCTGTTCTCATCAAATCCTCCTGCCCAGGGAGGCAGCCATTTGCCTCTTTCACAGAGAGAGCAAGGGATGGGCACAGCTACACCGCTCCACTCCCCTGGCAGTTCCAAACAGGCAGGTGCGTGGGGCTCAGTCTGTTGCCCCCACTGCCCCAGAGCCCAGTAAAGTCAAGGAGCATTGGGCCGGCCCTGTGGCCTAGTTGTTAAGGGAGCCAAATCCCACCTGGCCAGCTGTGGTTGAAACCTCAGTCTCTGTGACTTAAAAAACACACTCGGGGGACCAGCAGATGGCGAAATATTTACATCACTGGACTCCCACTTAGTCGACCACGGTTCGAGTCCCAGACATGGTGGCTTAAACTCATGCCGGGTGTGAGTGTCTGTGTACCCCAAATCCTAACAGAATGGACAAATGGAGGAGACGGGATTGCAGTGTGACCGTATCCCACTGAGAGAGATGCTCTCTGTCTCTCTGTCTCTCCAGCGAGGGCATATGCCCTATAGCAAAAATATCTCTCAAAAAAAAAAAGAGAAAAACACACTGGGTGTGAGTGTCTGTGTACCCCAAATCCTAACAGAATGGACAAATGGAGGAGACGGGATTGCAGTGTGACCGTATCCCACTGAGAGAGATGCTCTCTGTCTCTCTGTCTCTCTCTGCCCTCTGCTGATTTTAAAAATCAGGAAGCCCAGAGGAGGCTGGAAAAGGTATCCTAGGGTAGGTATTCTCTCCCTGAAGCTTGGAGCTGTCCCTCAGGAGACAAGGAAATAGATAGGATGACTCTGGAGAACAAATCTGTTTCAAATCATAAACTTGGTCTGACGAGCCATCTCTACCTCAAAGACCATACTGAAGATTCAGGGGCTGAGTTCGACTTCAGTGGGCAGGAACACTGATTGACTAGTGATGTCTGCCTTGGGTGTGGGAAGGAGCCAGGGACAACCTGATTCTGGCCCTATGGTAAGAGGTTCTTGCTCAGGGTCATGTGTCTATTTACCTGGAGACTCTCAAGTAAGATACTCAAAGGACTGAAATCCTGATGGAGGTGCTTGTGACAATATGAAGGGCCACTGGTGTGTCTAATGACATGAATAGCCATTTGGGCACAGCGATTATCTTCTTTGCGTTATACTAACAACTGCACTGACTCTGACCACCCAAGGTGCAATTATGCAGGCTTAAATGAGGCAGCAGTAGGGACCTTGACACCCGCAGGTCTGGGGCCTTGAGTTTGTGCATCCAGATGCCGGGATAAGGGAAGACTCAGACCTGGAACTTGCCTGGGCAGGACGCTCAGGCCAGGAGCTGGAGGCTGTGCTGGGGGCACCTGGAAGACCTCATGGAGGAGGAGTCTAAGGCTTAGAAGGAGGTGAAGTGTTCATACAGAGAACACAGCAACGAAGAGCATTCCAGACGGAGGGAAAAGCCTATGCAAAAAGCCATCTGGTGAGAGAGAGAGCACTGTACATTCCAGAAACTTCTAGTTCTCATGTCTGGAAGGGGCAGGGAGAGGGAGAGGAGAGCTGGAGGATGGGCAGGGGACACACCGCGCCAGGCCTTGAAGGTGAGCTCAGGGACTACACTTCATCCAGTGGGGAAGGGGGATCCAGGGAGGAATGGCCACCAGGGGATGGGGAGAAGGGAGGCTGTTGGCACAACCCTGAGAGAGGGACGCAGGTCCCAGGGCCACACCGAAGTACAAACCAGGACAAAGCACCATGGAGTCGGCTCAGAGCAGCCTGGCCTCCCCACCCCGAGGATACCGGAGCCTCACCCTTCATCTTGCAGTATCTCGGCTGCCCAGGCCAGCTACAAAGGCTAGGGCTCAAGAGGACAACTTGGGAGTCCCTGGAGGAGATTGAGGACCAGTGGGTCCCATCCTGTCCTACTCTGAGATTCAGGTAGGGAGTGAGAAGACAGTGGGGGAACTGCCCAGGCCACACAGGGAGCTGGGGCTCCAGCACACCCTGCCCCCCATACTCCTCTTATGTGTCCTGGTCCTGCTCCTCCCACTGCCCTGCCCCCCATCCCTGACCCAGGCCTCTGGGCCGCAGTCCAGAACCTGCAGGAGGCTGGGCTGGGACGGAGTGTCCCATCCTCCCTCAGAGGTTTGCCCTGGAGCTGGGCTCGGCTGCCAGATCTTATCCTGGCTGAAGGCGTGTGCTGGGTGGGAGCAGAGTGGTGGCCCACAGGGAAGGGCCTCTGTGGGGTCGGCAGGGCAGAGACCTGCACACAGGGTGAGCATTCATATAGACACAGCTGCAGCTGCGGGGGGTCCATGTGACCTGAGGATGCTGTGTGCCTCCGTTTCC